CAGCTGGAGAGCTCCTTAGGATAGCAGCCTGGAATACCTTGGAAAAATATTGCTATGTGGACACAAATACAAATTTTAGGCAACACAGAGGAAGTTCAAGAATGAAAGTGAAAGCCAGCAAATCTTTCAGAGAAGAAGTCAAAGAAAACAGAAGGGGTTTTACCTCAGACAAGGAATTGCCTTGTGAGAATGGGATAGTGTTTCCTTATTCAAGCAAGTATTGGTTCCACAAGGCATTGTATCTATGAGAGAAGAGCATAAGCCATCAGTAACTATAAAAAGAAACTGAAGAGTTTTATGAGTTTACAGTAAAGAGTTTCACCAAAGATAAATTTTCATTTTCTCTCTTACATCGTAATATTACTTGTGCTATGTTACTTTAGGATATTTTCAGATTTTCATATCGGCAGCTACAGAAAGTTGTGCACACAAAGTATTGCCAGCCTAAACGTGAAATAAAAAAAATGGTTCTCAGGATCTAATACCTAAAATTAGCATTTAAAACAATTTACTTCTGGCAAGCTAACAGCGGACATATCAGAGCTGAAGAACTACATCCAAGACAGGTCTTGTGCTGAGATGACAAGATATACACCTGGCCCCAACCCAGAAGCAATGCAAGGAAGAAACAGGGTTCACACTCAAGTATTCCGAGATGTTACCTAGATATTACGCCTGCAATAATCTGTACGTAAGCCTAGGGGTAGAGTTGCACGGTACACAAGGTAGGGTGAAAAAGAAAAGAGTTCATGACTTGATGTCAGCCTTACCAATTTCTAGCATTTCTTCTTCTAGCGTAGAACCTGTTGGTCTTCTAGATGAAGGGTCAGAAGAAGTGGACTGAGTCTTAAATAAAAATTAACAGAAAAAAGTACCAATGTGAGTTTAACCTGAATGCAAATCCAAGCAAATATAAACTTCCTGAAATTTAATCAGCTCTATTATGACTTGGGGACCATGATTTGCAGGTTCAGGTGCAGCAGAATGCAAATCTTTGCAGTATCTCTGACAAGTACACTTTCATTTTTTAACACGGGCTCTCATACGTGCAGTGATTAAAACAATAAAAGCTTATCACTGAGTTCTCCTCAGTCAGTTCCTAAACATTCCAAAGTGTGATAGCTTAGCCCTTGAAAGATATATTTTGTACAAACAAGAGTTAATGACTCTCTCGGGAATGAATAATAGAGCAGGACAGTTTCTTATTCATCTTACCCTATGGGGCAATAAGAAAAATAACACTACACCTTTGAACCACACTAGGGAGTCAAGCAGTTCATGACTCATTTTTACAGAGCCAAAGTCCTACAGGAATCCTCTCCTGGACTGGTGGATAACGAACCTAGCAGAAAGAGCTTTATCCAGAGGAGGTATGCGATTTTTCTCACAAGGTAATATATTCGGGCTCCTTGACTACAAGCTTGAGGAAAAGATTAGCGGTTTACAAACGCACCTAAACTATAGACTTGAACAATTGTAAAGTATCCAGAAGACAACAAACATTTAGCTCCCTCCTCAGCTGCAACTGCTAGAGCAGAGTATGCAAACCAGCGTAAGGCAAACCCAGCGCACAAGAGCTGTTGCCGTCAATGGGAAAGAAGAACCTATGGCTGTCCAGGCTCAGAGTGGGCCCAGCCTCAAGATGCATTAGGGAGAGCCGCTTCCTCTTTCATCCTGCACCTTTCTACCTACTTTCAAAATCTTTGCTAACCTCTTCTGTAGTCTCTGCGATTGGAGCGGCATTGCTGACTGAAGCCTTCTGGCGTTCACTTGCTGCCTTGGCTGGCAATTTCACCACAGCAGAAACTTCTTCAACTTTCTTTTTACATTCAGAAAAATCTACAAAACAAAGACAGGCCATATAAGAGCATGATTTAAAAGGGGATTACGATTTCTATCTGCATTAAAGCCCATCTCCTTAATCCCACCTAAAGCAGAGTAACTCATTTCAAGTTACACACCCTTCCGCCAACAGCGGCCGGTGGCAATATCTGTATTAGTTGGCTCACTGCACAGTCCTTCAGAGCCGGAGCGCAAAGACTCACCCGTGAGTCTGCCAGCCAGATCTGCACAAACACCCCGCTTTTGGGAACATTCCCTGTTTCCAGAGAAGCAGCACAGGGGCAACTTATCCTCCTCACCCCCTCCACAGCTGCGTGTACTCTTGCAGTTTATTACGTGTCGCTCTTGTCTAGTTGAGAGAAGCTGTTTGTGGAGGTCTAGAAACCAAAGTTACCCAAGCCTGTTCTTTTCAGCAGTAAAGCAGAGACATGGAACCCCTCTGCCAGTATTTCCAAACATCAACAAGCCAGGGCTGTCCAATAAGGGGCTGTGTTAGAGATTAAATCATCTTAGACAACAGCATTCGTTTGAAGATAAAGAGAACGATGTTTTAGCAGACGAGGGCATAGATGGTACCATGTTCTTCGAAGCAGATCTGGCCTACTTACTAAGATGTAGGAATTGTTCCTACCAAGAGCTGGTCATGTTGCTAAAAGGAGAAGGGATAGGGGAGCAAGATATAAATTTGGCGTATTTTTCAATTGTTTTACGCTCTTAAGCCTAAAAAGCACACTAACACTTCAGCAGCCCCTGCCATTAAATAAGGGGCAGCATCGTTCGCCAAGCAGTAACTAGGAAGCTCCACATCTCCCTGTAGAACTTGTGCTAGGAAATGTCGTACAGCCGAAAGAACATCATTTCTCCCTCTTTGTGAGTAAAGATGGAAAAGGGGAAATGACCATCTCAAATCACGACCAATGCAGCTGGCATCCAGAGGCACCAACACGTCTGCAGGCAGCTGCATAATTTTACCCTTAAATACTTTGTGGAGCGGGTATCAGAAAGCCTCACTGAAGACAGCAGGTCTCCATCCCGCTGTTCACTCCTATGCCTAGCCTCTGCTGCATCTCCATCCTTCTTTACTCATCCTTCCTCTGTCTTTTCCAAATCCACAGGCCAAAATTTTCAGATTCAGACTAATCTGACTCTTCTGGTTTCAATTCAGCCTTTCCCCCCCCGCCCCATCTCACAGCGATACCATTTTTCTTTGCCTGCCATCAGTCTAAAGTTACCTTCCTTCACATCCCAGGTTCTAAGCGATTTCTCTTTAGACATACAGATATTTGGAACTGACAGGCAGATTGCAAACGGAGATAGGAGGAAGAACACAGCTTGGATTTAAAATACTCTTTCTGCTGACATGCACAGGCTCACCACCAGAGAGACCTGGGATATGTCCTGCTGGCAGTAAAAGTCTTGTGCCCTGCCACAATCAACACCGATGACATCATATATAGGGCTAGGCCCTGCGATACACCCTCCAACCACTGGCTACACAAGACGGCCAGAAAGAAAGAATGGCTTGAAAAGCCACAGTTTCATTAAGAATGCTGAAGTACAAAAGCCAGAGTTTTCTAAGGTACATGAAACCTAAGAAAAATCAGGGATATTAAATACTTCTGTAAGGTGCAATACCTGTTTTTTTCTTTTTTTTTTCACTTTGGTCAGGATCTTCCACAGGTGGCTGAGTGCTGAGGAAAGAACACAGAGAACAGCGATTTGCAACCACGGGTAAGCTTCTAACAGGCCGACTTCCCTTCACGGGACCCAAACTTCCAAATTTTCATATCCCAAAGGTCTCCCCCCTCCAGGCACCCCTAGGATGATCTCAGACACACACAGCCACTGCGGAGCATCTCTCATCAACACTCTCCACCTCTCCCAATCAACGGAGCGCTAATTATCCCACTACGGCATATCAGGCCTTGTTTTCTTGTTCTGTTAATGCTTCTTAATGTTTTACATTTGTTCCCAGCACCACAAAATTGCTTCAGTTTACATGTTAAGTCTTCCTATTTCCTCAAGGAAAAAACATACCAGAGATTACTAAGTTCGTAAGTCACTACACAGAGTTGCAGAGCAACGAAAGTCTAAGTAGGACAGGAAATAAAGGTGGGAAAGCAACTCGTGCATACACCCACTTAAATAACTTACTGCTACATCAGCGCTCCTGAACTAGTTCTTGAAATAATTTTTAGTTGCACCCTTTCTTACTAAGCGTAAGTCCAAGTATTGTATCAGTTGATGCAATGATAAAGTCTAGGAAACATTTTTGCTTTGGGAACAGAGCACAAAGGTTGTTCCTAACTTTTTTTTTCCCCCCTATTTGCCTCCAGAAATGCCGTGCCAGATGGCAAGGATGCATCGAGGAACTCTTTGGTCTTTCTTACACAAAATAATTTCTTTTAAACTGTTATGGCCCTGAACCCTGCTAGTATCATCGCTTCTGGACTATCTTTTGTATCAGGAGCACAGAGAGTAGCGGATATCCTTAACGGCACCTTTCATACACTACACAGATTATTTACTATGCTATTAAAGTCAGGTGGAAAATATTGGGGGGTAGCTGTTAAATGCAAATCTGTTGCTATAAAAATGCATTCTTACTCAGCATATTCGATATTTCAGAAGGTAAAACTGAAGGCGGCGAAATGTTTGTATCCTCCTGTTCAATTTTTAGCAAGAGCTAACTCATTCTGAGCTTGTCTTTGGTGAAAGTCTTCCAGCTTCCGCAGGGATAAAACACCATTCAACCTCCTCCAGGCTACATTCTGAGACAAGGACAGTTTAAATACCTGACTGCGGTTACAGTAACCGTTTCTGAACAAAGTGACTCTTTCTCCAGCTGCAGCAGAGCACCCAACGCCTGAGAGCGTTGTTTTGTCCTTTTTTTACTTTACCAACCACTAGGAGGTTTAGATTTTACTTTGATCGCAAGAAAAGCTGAATTGTCTCTTGGTAATTCAGAAATAAATTAGGAAATGTTTGCTCTTCTGAAGCAGGCATGGCCAGGGAACACGGATGGGCAAAAGGCAAGGAAAAAAAAAAAACCAATCTATGCTTAGCTACCTCTGTCTCCAAAGGGAACACACAACCCTGGGAGAAGGTTAAACTGTGTCATTGCAACCGGGGTTTTGCCAAGGGCCTGGGAGAAACAGGTAAGCGCAAAGGCTGTCGAGTAATATTTGAAACACGCTGAAATGGGCCAGAAAATAAAGGCAATCTGAGACTGTTCTCCATGTAAATATGTGTTCGTGTCCTTCTCCACTCTCTGGAGGAGACAGCACCTACTTATGCCCTGGATTTTACTCGCCTCCTTAGCAATGACAGGGAAAAAATAAGGTATTAGGAAAACTCAGTAACTCTGCATACACCCATATTTCAAAACTTCCTCCCTGACCAGTGTTGAGGACAGTTCATTAAGATTTATAATTTAGATTTGTAAAAAATTCAAGTTTTCACAGGTTAACCCCCCCCCCCAATAAAGTCGCACACTGTGCTTCAGTGGTGCAATACAAGACTGTACACAACGATTATCTACTTTCCCCACCAGTTTCACCACCCACACCCATGATTTTTCACCTTTCTACTATGGAAAACCTCAAGTGGCAGAAATAACAACCACCCTGTGGTTTAGATTTCCTCGAAAAGACTCACACAGGGGACCTGGGAACATCTCTGCTGGGAACATCTTTGCTGTTTGAAAACTTCAGCTTCTGAAGCCACCTAATGCAGTTTCACCCGCACTGCTCCGTGGGTCATTCCCAACGATCTCTTAGCAAAACCGGGTCTCCTGGTCAGACCGTGCCGCGACTGCCCGCAGCATCTGCAAAGGCGCGTTCAGTTTGGGATTGTGCTCTGCACGGCAGCTGTGAACAACTACTTGTGCAACAAGGGGCTCTTTCCAGAAGACGTTCACTTTTCCCATTCGCTCTGGAACATGAGACACTAAGCGCAGCCTCCTGGAACAACAGTTTCTCCCAGAGGGAACAACCAGACTCCCCAAAAGGTGGTATGTAATCCATGTGTTCCCTCTCTTCAGAGACACAGAAGCAACAGGCACGGAGATGGCTTAACCATCTGTCACCGGGAGCTATGGGGCACCAGCAATGGTTAGCGCCTGGGAAGGCATCCCCCTTTCTTCCAGCCCACATACATACCATATCCCTATGCCATGACTTTCCTCCATCTAATATATCCCCTTACATCTATACACTGTTCTCTGCTCCTTCAACACACATACTCCAAATCTCCACCCCTTTTCTTCTTTTCAACCCCCCACTGCCCAGATGGAAAGCGAACAAGGGGGTGGGTTTGCCAACGGACTTATTGGGAACATCTGGAACCCACAATCATCTGAGCATCACACGTG